AAATCCTAAGAAATCAGAATTTGCTAAGTCTTAGGTATTGTATCTTGGACACATAGTAAATGAGGAAGGACTAAGGCTAAGAGAAAATAAAATTACAGCAATCAGAGATTGACCCAGACCCAAGATTGTGACTGAACTGCGATCCTTCTTAGGACTTGCTAGCTATTATAGAAAGTTTGTGAGAGATGTTTCCCTTATAGTTGCACCCATGAAAAAATTGTTAAAAATTCTTGGCTATGGGATACAGATTGTGAGTTTGCATTCAAGAAACTGAAGTACACGCTAACTCACTACCCTATTTTGAAGATGTTGACCTGTCACTCCCTTTCATTGTGAAAACTGATCCTGTTGAGTTTGCAATTGGGGTTGTGTTACATCAAGATGATGGAAAGGGGTATAAACATGTTGATTTTATGTTGAAACACCTTCCATTTGACAACGTAGATAACTCAACCTAGGAAAGGGAATTGTATGCCATGGTTGAAGCGTTTAACACATGGAAACATCACTTGCTCGGAAGACATTTCACGGTCTACTTAGTCCACTCGACCCTGAAATGGATAAAGATGCAACCTTGACTTTCCGACAAGTTAGTAAGATGGTCTACATTCATTGACACGATTGACTTTGAATTGAAAATCATGAAGGGTAGGTCTAACTTGGTTGTTGATCCTTTGTCCCAGCGTTCCGATTTCTTTGGTACATTGTTTCCTATCTTGACATCGGGACAGAGTTGAAGGATAAATTCCAACAAGGGTATGCTAGGGATCTTATATGGATTCCTATCATCCAAACTTTACAGGAAAATCATGAACTCTTGTTTGAGTATAGAATGAATGATGGCTTACTCTTCTTTACTGACAAAACCAAAGACAAAACCTGCATTCCTCATAGAGAAGATATTTAAAGTTTGGTTGTTGGGGAATGCTATGACACTAAAGGTCACTTCGGACACTAAAGGTCACTTCGGATTTAAGACGACGTTTGCTAATGTCTGAGAACTCTTCAAATGGAAAAAAACAAAAGAGGATGTGTTAACCTATGTGCAAACTTGTCTCGTTTCCCAAAGGAACAAGCCCTTTCATGAGAAACCCATGGGACTACTACGACCACTACCTATTCCAAGTGAGCCAGGTGAGTTTATAACGATTGACTTTATGCGTCTCACCAAAAGTCGGTATGAGAACAGTAAGGTGATGGTCATTGTCGACAAATTCTCTAAGTATGCTATGTTTGTTCCTTTCCCACCCGAAGCTAGAATGAAACTCGTCATTCAGAAGCTCCAAACGTGATAGGTTTCGGGGTATGGATTTTCGAAAACCATCGTCTTTGATCGGGATGTACGGTTCACTGGCCAACAATGGCAAAAGTTGATGGATGCATTATGCACTCGATTGACCATGTCGTCAGGTAGACACCCTGAAACGAATGGCCAAACGGAGCAAATGAACCGACTGTGCCAACAACTTTTGCGAATGTATGTACGACCAAATCAGATTGATTGGAATGAGAACTTGCCAAAGATAGCGAGTGCGTACAACAATTGTGTTCACACAGGAACTGGCCGAACCCCTAACGCACTACATAAAGGCTGGAAACCGGGACGTACCATTGAATCTCTGACTAGGGACCAAATCCAAAGGCCACCCCAGGAACGCGATAGTTTGCAATTTTGTACGAACAAGATATACAAAAAGTAAAGGAAGATATCCACAAAGCCCATCTACTAATGATTGAACAGGCTAACAAGCATCGTCGACCATCACAGTTCCAAGAAGGAGACCTAGTCAGGATAAAGTCAAAAAAAAATTCCTTCGAAGAAAATGTGTCACAAAAATTGTTGCCTATCTATTCTGGACCCTAGGAAGTTCTTAAGGTGATTGGGGACACAAATGGACCTTCCTATAGAATTGATGTACCCCCTCACCACAAGACATATCCTGTCTTTCACGCTTCTAAACTGCTACAATATGTCGAAGGCCACAAGTTTCCTAACCGCCCCTCCATGATTCCTCCCTCTATGAATGGAGGCTATGAAGTTGAACGAATCGTGGAACATGGATACTTCTCTACAGGTAGTAGAGGAATACCGCATAAGCAGTATAAGGTAAAGTTGAAATCACAACCTATGACAAAAGCGAGATGGTTTTCCAAGAAAGAACTTCTACCTACTGCACCAGATATTGTCGCTGCATATGAGCATGCGTTAAGAGAAAGAGCCTAAAATAATAGTTTCTGCGATCGAACTCGAAATTGGGCCCGATGGCATGCAATAACTCAACGTAAAATATGCAGTAGTCTTGAGCCGCACGTCGACACTTGGGTCAAAGGGCCGTAACAGGGGCGAAAGGCCACGCCCAAGTCAAAGAAACTGCTTGATATGAGGCCTGCTGTTGTGGGTACCCGAAGCACGACCTGAACGGGCATCTCAGAGGCCCTGCGTGTGACAGTTGTTCGTGGAAAGTCAAAGATCAACAACAACTTGCAAATTCAGGCTCAGGAGTCAAAGTCCGCACAGTCCTTGCCCAGGCCACAGACCAGACACACACGTTTGGTTGTTTGCAGGTATCTTCCAAGGATTCAGTCCAAGTGGAAATCTGCAATTGTATGAATTCAGGCCGTCGACCATGGGTCAATCTGGGTTGTCGTATCCACGAGACCAGAGGCTGGTCAAGCCGAGTCAACACTATATGTTGCCCAGCCCCTGCTGACCGATATTCAGTCTTGCACTTGCTGCTCGATGCTGGTTGGACGCTAGCTCTACTCTGGCACTACACTGGCTCTGCGTTGGCTTGACCTGGACGACGACGCGAGACTGCACAACGTTTATTTGACGTCGGCGCCATCTCTATCTTGGGCACTAGTTGGATCCGAGACTATGTTGATGTGGTGCTGGCCACACTGTCTGCTACCGAGACTATGCTGACGTGGCATTGGCCACACTGTCTATAGCATTGATTGGGGATTGCCGACGAGGTGGAGGATCAAGGTTGTGAGACTGGTTGATCGCAGGGAAGCAAACGTGTTTGATGATGTGTCGACATTGCGCACAACTGATCGTCTTCACAAGGTATCTGCGCTGACAAGCGCTACATGAGATCGACTCTATGTCAGATTGTGTCAGAGGAGATTGTTTGCTGATGTGGCACGGGGAGATGCCCGAAGTCGCGGAGGGGAGCTGAGGGAGCTCTATCTACTACGCTGATGGTGACTTTCTCTTCCACCCGCTCAATCTCATCTCTCCCCCATCTTCTTCTTCTATGGTGATAAGACATCGGGCTACTTGATGGTGTATACGATTATTTGGAGACCTTGAGACTGTGATGAGACATTCTATATTTTAACATTTACGAGCTTCTCTTTTGACAGGGTTCATTGCAAAGTCTTATGGATTCAATAACGCCAGACTCATATGCCTTTAATAGAAGAAAAAGGGAGTGGATTCCAGCTCTCAAGGGGCAGTCAGCATCTAATGTTTACCCATCCAGAGAGAATTGTTCATGGAACCACTATAGAAATCATTTGGACTATTTTTCCTAGTATTATCCTAATGTTCATTGCAATACCATCATTTTCTCTATTATATTCCATGGATGAGGTAGTAGATCCTGCAATTACTATCAAAGTGATTGGACATCAATGGTATAGAAATGAGTATTCATATTATAATACTTCTGATGAACAATCATGCTTCCAGAGGAATTCATAGAAGACCTTGAAAAGAATATGAGTGTGAACGATATACAGAAACACCAAGTTGCAAAATCACACAGATGTCCAAGTAGTCGTGTTCAAGCAGAGAGTACAAATGCACCGAGAAACCATCCATATAGAGCAATACAATGAAGTAATGAGCCAGTGTTCAAGCCCGTAGGCCACACCAACACAATATTCAAAGTCGCTCCTCTCTGTCTGGCGCCCAGCGCCCAGCCTACTCTACCCGACTATCGTATCTACAACTCTGTTCACGCAACAAGCTCACTTGGACTCTCGATGACCAATGCACATGACTGTCAACACCATAGCCAACCTCTCTTCATGCACCGGGTATGTATCTCATCACCCTCAGTTACACCTTGATTACCCCACACGCGCCTCCTTCCCTGAAGACCACCAGATCGCCCGCTTTACACCCTGGCGCCCAGCAGCCCGGCTATGGCTGTCTGCGCCCCGCTTCCTTGCAGCGCCCCACTTCACCTCAACGCGCCCCGACAGTGCCCTTGGCCGCCGCGTAGTATCAAGCGATAGCGCAGCAGCACTTTCGCATTGCTTGCACGGGCCAGAATGCATGGCCTGGGCTGCCTCACTTCTTTTATGGAAGTGGCAGCCTCCTTGATGCTGCGTGTGGCTTGCCTGGAAGCTTCCAGTAGCTTCTGGTTGGGCCTCAGACCCTGAGCCCAGGCCCGAGACTACAATTGAGGGCCTGGGCCCCATTTATAGTTGGGCACGATCTGAATCCCCGGACTTGGGTTGTTTCTGCATCTGTGCAGGGCTCGCAGGTAGGTGCATCGACAGTACTGCTTTTGCATAGGCCGATGGCCTGCTTCTCCATGTATCGGCCCTGCTTTGTGTGTATGTGCCCAGGCGCAACTATCAAGGCCTGGGCCAACTGTACGACGCAACTTAGTGAGGCTCGCACGTCCATGCAACTAACTAGCGTGCTGCAAGAGCCTGAATATCCACATATGAAAGTGTCGAAGTTTGGCCTTTGACGAATATTCAGGCCCGCCTTCACTAAGGGCGGGCACTTGGCTAGCTGGGGGCCTTTGCCCAGAACATGTGATGTCTGATAGGGCCCCGTGAGGGCTTGTTCCTCCCATTCCATCCCCCTTAGCTTCGAAAGTCCACTGAGATGTTTCATGCTGGTGCCTTTCCTTTCAGTTTCTTCTCATATTCTGCCACGATCTGAGGAGCTGTCTTGACAAGTTCCTCCGTTGAAATCCCTCGATCTTCCGTAGGATCAGTATGATGTCTGAAATGTACTTTGTACTCCCTTGCAGGTTTAGGGGGTCTACCCCTACCAGGTGGCTTGGGAACAGGTGTGTCTCTGTGATCCAGGATGTCGTCGACGTCCACGTGGCCATCCATGGTTGGGGGCAACATAGATCTCCGTCATGGGAACTGCTCCGTCTCAATGAAAGGTGCAAGCTTGGAGGCTTGAAAAACAGGGTAAGTGCGTAGGTGACCAGGGATACGAATGACGTACGAGGGACCATCCAAATGATTACCCACAATGTCTAAAACTTCCCAGGGACCGAAATACTGAGGCATTAGTTTCCTAGAGATGCCAAACTCCTGTCCCAGCTCACTAGCCTTGACCTAGACATGTTCCCCTCGGCAACGTTTGTTCTCAGAAGCAATCATGGCTTCCTGAGATTTCTTAATGTGTTCGACAGTCTGGTGCAACAATTTCTCATACTGGACACCAAATTCGATGGTTTCAGGAGTTGCAACAGTTCGGTTTTCAGGCAGGAGGAAGTCTAGAGCAGATCTAGGCTTCCATCCCAGATGTAGTTGATTAGGACTGATGCCGGTGGTGGTGTGTACAGCATTGTTGTACAGACTGGCGATGAGAGGTAGTTTCTCATCCTAATCCTGGTTGGGCTTGATGTAATGCCTCAGCAGATGCTGCACCACACGGTTCATCTGTTCAGCCTGCCCATTTGCTTCGGGATGATTCCCAGAAATCGTGTGAAGTTGGTCGCCCATCTGTTTAGCGGCCTTCTTCCACATCTCGCTGCTAAACCGGACATCCCTATCACTAACAATGGTCTTTGGCAGTCCAAAGTCACGCACCCAGTTGTCTATAAACAACTTAATGACGTGCTCAGTCCTGACAATCTCCGGCATGGCAATTAGTCTAGCATATTTAGTGAACCTATCCACTATGACGAAGATGTGCCTCTTGCCATTCTTGCTGGTCACGAGAGTATCCATGAAGTCCGTGGAGATACTCTACCCTGGACCAGCAGGGATGGGTAGAGGCTTGAGTAACCCAAGCGGAGCTTGAGTCCGTGGCTTGTCTCACTGACAGACCTGACAAGTCTGTACGTACTTCTTTACATTGTCCAGCATGTAAGGCCACCAGAATCGTTGTACTAAATTAGCGCTAGTCTTCTTGTAGCCGAAATGTCTCGTTGCATCGTGGCACTCACCTAAAAATAAACTACGCAAAATTTCCTAGATGGAACAACTAACCTCTTAAACCCTGCCTTTTCAAGAAAGAGTAACCCATCCACCATCACAAACTCGTAAGTTGTGGCCTTGTCTTTGGCCTGCATTTTGTTGATGATGTCCATCGTGATGGGATCTTCCTTGTAGGCTTCCCCCAAAGATCGAGTAATGTCCTCAGATAAGCCAAACTCATAAATCAGCGCACCTAGGTAATCTACCCTTCTAGACAACACATCTGCAACCTTGTTATACTCTCCCTGCACATAGTCTAGTTTGAAGTGATACTGATCTATAAATTCAATCCAGCGTTTGAGAGCATCGGAGAGAACTGGTTGGGTCTTGATCCACTTGAGGGTCTGATGGTCAGTTCTCAAGTAGATGAACCTTCCTAACAGATAGTGCCTCCAGTGGACAAGTGCCTTGTAGAGAGCGTAGAGTTCCCTCTCGTAGGTGGACTTTGCCAACTTCTTTGATGACATCTTTTTACTCATATACTCGACATATCTCAACTTTTTCCCTTCCTGCTGAGCCAGCACTGCATCAATGTCATATTGGCTTGCGTCAGTGGCTACAATGAATGGCCTCTGCGGGTCGGGTATCATGAGAACCTCATGGTGTGTGAGAGCATGCTTCAAACGCTTGAAAGCTGCCTCACACTCGCCGGTCCAGTCCCATGGTGTGTCAAGTCGAGTTAGATCAGTCAAAGGAGATGCGATCGTATTGCAATTCTTTACGAAATTACGGTAATATCCAGATATTCTCAAGAATAATCCGACCTCAGTCATAGACTGGGGTTGGGGCCAATCACGTATGCTGGCCACCTTTGCATCTTCGGGCCTAATAACCATCCGCGGATACTTCATCACCCAAGTACACGATTCAAGTGCGTCCAAACTCGCATTTCTCTAGGTTTATCTTATACTTGTGTTGCCGAAGAAGTGAAAGTACCTTGTCTACATGCTGAGCATGCTCCTTGACAGTCTTACTCAACATAAGTATGCCATCGAGGTACACAACAACGAACTTATCTAAGTAGTCATGGAAGATCCTATTCATGGCATGCTGGAATATACCCGGTACATTGCAAAGGCCAAAGGGAATCACCACAAACTCGTACATACCGTACCAGGTCTTAAATGCGGTTTTGTGCTGGTCCTTTGGTCTTATGGCAATCTGATGGTAGCCGGATTTTAAGTCTATCTTGGTATAGTACTTACACCCTTGCTCCCTATCCAATAGGTCGTCGATGCGTGGTAGAGGCTCTGCGTTCTTAACAGTGATGGCATTGAGGCCTCTATAATCAACGCACATCCTTAGTGTTCCCCTTTTCTTGGGAACAAATAAGACTGGTGAGCCAAAGGGGGAGGTGCTAGGCCGAATCCACCCCTTCTCTGTGGGCTCTTTGAGTTGTCGCCGAAGCTCGTCCAACTCGGTCGGAGCCATCCTATAGATTCTCCCTTTAGGTGTCTTGCTACCTGGGATGGTCTCTATGGCATGGACAACCTCCCTGTCTACGACTCATGTAGGCTCCTCAAACAGATCAGGGTACTTAGCGACGATGGTCTCTATCTCTGAGGTGCTTTAACGGCCTCCCGTTTTGCAGAGACATAGACTAAGTACATACCTTCCTTTTGGTTCTGTTTATAATAGTTATAGAATGTTGGTGCGCATAAGCACCCATAGGAGTCTATTAACCAACTTGCTCTATACTTGGTCAGTCTAACGGTCCTCCCATTAGGTAACTCCTGCTTTAACACCTTCTTGTCCCAATCAAACTAGGACTTGGCAACCTCGAGGTAGTACATGCCCAACAACATGTCGAAAGGCGAATCGTCACTCACCAGGAATGATATCTTATGACTTATCTCTCCTCCTTGGTAGGAGAAAGTGCAGACTACGTCCTTTACGTAATCTTCTACCATCATGCGCTCTTTGTTGGCCAAAGTAGATGCTACCGGTCTACTAAGGCGCTACACCCGGTCCTTTAGGCGCAGTCTCTCAACGCAGTCGTGACTTATGAAGTTTCACGTGAAGCCAATGTCTACGAAGGCGCTGCACTTGCGACCACCCATACCAACTTCCACAACGAAGTGTTCCCCTCTAGGACCTCTACATAGTGCAACCCAGGACTCACGAGGGTCCCTTGCCGACCACTCACCTTGAAGGTCCTCTAAGGCTTCAGACACATCCAACGTACAAGTATAGTTGGGTCCGGATGCGTCTGCGGGGTGACTAAGGAGTCAATAGCGTCGGCCAACTCTTGAAACGGGGAGGGTACATCACCCGCTTCAACGAGAGTAGAAGTAGCTACAACTTCCACTGGCCCTAAGTGTTTCCTGAACTGGAGCTCGTGGAGACCCCAGACTGAGAAGAAGGAAACCCACCCTTAGGAGGGATCTTCAGCGAGACCTTCGGGTTCTTGCACTTGAACTGTTGGTGGCCATACTCGCCGCAGTTTATGCAAGCACCACACGACCAATGGTCCCGCCACACTTTCTGATCCGAACCGGCCCTCACCCAAGCAACAGTTTTGTTTGGGTTGGCGGCTTGCCCCTGACTCCTCTGTTGACCGCCCTTGCCGCAACCACCTGCCTTAGTAGTCTTAACTATGGCGGTGAGGTTGCTACCCGCGACACTCTCCGTGCCGTCTAACTCTGATCCCTCCACAAGCTCAAAAACATCATCAATCTCAGTTTGATTCCCATTGGAATCAACCATCATCAATTGACTACCCTTCTTCTTCCATTCTTGTGGGGTTTTCTTCTTTCTTCTGTCCGTAGTGGGGGTTTGAGCACCACCCAGCGTAGCCTCTAAATCTAGGGCCTTCTTGCTGAATGTCTCAAATGTGTGACACTCTAAACGAGCCTCGCTGACTAACAAGTTCTTGATGTCTATGGGAAGACATTAAGAGCATGGTCGACAAGACCTGTGAATTGTACTCCACCCCTGGGACGACAATCAGACGCTCTACGGTCGTGGTGAGCTCCCGCACTGACTTGTACTTCCTAGAGTCAAGTTTCAGTAGCCCATTAGTGGCAATTTGCGCTTGCTGAGGGTTGTGTCATCGAGCCTCCACTAAATCCATACAACTTTCTAGGGTGTGGGTCTGCGCCCAATCACGCATGTTCCTGCCGAACCCCTTTGAAGCTACCAATCCATTAAGCCAACGAGTTGCTGAACTCTCTAAGTAGGATGCAACAATTATCACTTCCTCCTCTACCAATGTCCTCTTTGCCCTCACCCACACTGGCACCGTTCTCAACCACGTGTCGAGAGCCTCATCCTTCTTGTCTCCTGTTAAGGTTGGAGGTGGTTTCAAGGGGGTCTTGGGGTACCAAGGCAATTGCTGTCCCGCTGGCGGGACAGGTGGCGACTGTGATGTAACTCCAGTCGCTGGACCAGAACTAAAGAAGGAACAGTCTGAGATAGGGTTGCTGTTGTAGTACCGCTTGGTGTTGATCTTGACTGAGTGGCATAGGGGTCTGTCATCGCTGAGAATGGTAGTGATGGCAAAACTGCTGGCCTGATTCCTGGCCTTTGCATGGCATTCAAGATCTGGTCCAGGGTGTCTTGGATTGCATCCAGTTTGTTGTCCATGTATGTGTGCATGGACAGGATGCTTGCCTTGACAACTTTCATATTGTTGTCTAGGGAGTCATCTAATCCCTCTAGTGCAACTTTGTCTGCCTCTCTGCTCTCTAGTCTGATACTCCTATTTCTAATTTCTCTCTCCCTGTCGGTAGCCTTTTTAAGTTCCTCCTCTAGCTTTAAGCGAATCCTTTCCACTTGCTAGAGCTCCATCTGCTCCCGGGTGCATGGAGGCGGTGAGATGAACTGCGAGCCCGTCATCTGACTAGTGCCAGCTCCTATTGTACTAGAGATAACATGCAAGCTGGTCTGCTGACCACTTGAGGTTGCAGCAGATGTTGCTGCAGAGGTAGCCATTGCTACTGCGCTAGCTGCTGCTGCTGCCAACGCCCGTTCTACAACTCTTG